TTCCCTATTCTTTTCTGAAAATCTCTGCTTAGCTTTCAGGGCCACATAATCTGGCCCCACCTCACTCCTCAGTACATCCCAGTAGACACCTGGGCCTCCAAACATGGTTCTTTGTGTGCAGTTTTTTGGTTTTTTTTTTTTTTTTTTTTTTTTTTTTTGGCAGCTGGCCAGTACAGGGATCTGAACCCATGACCTTGGAGTTGTAAGGCTATGCACTAACCAACTGAGCTAACCAGCCAGTCCAACCAAGGTTCTTACCCAATCCCGCTTCCTGCTGTGGCCTACATCACTTCTTTCACTGGCCCCACACCCCACCTATTCGGTGCTCACCCAATCTGTGGCCAACTCACCTGAATGTAAGCCTCCGACAGTGTGATCATCTGGGGAAGAATGTCCGTCACCTGAAGGTCTTGCAGTTCATACCATTTGCCGGTCCCCTGTATAAAGTATGAAGGGCTAGGTTATTTAGCCTACTCGCTAAAACCAAAAGGATGTAGAAGGAAGGGACTGCAGCTAAGAGTTAGAAAAATCAGAAGAACAGCCGTTAGACATCACACAGCAAGAGTCATAAAGAAGAGGGGGCATGACCTCAGGTGGGTCAATTAACAGAGCTTTTGGTGTGTCAATCATGGCAAACTTAATTCCTCAAAGTAAAATGGAGTCTCAAACACTTCTGAATACCTTTAAGAATTTAGGTAGACACTAAAGAGAAAGAGGAAGCCCTAAGACACTCACCTAAGATGTGTCTTTCCTGCTCAGAAATAACAGACTAAACATACTCACATACTCATCTCCTACAGGTGCACAGTACCGACTACTGGGAAAACCTAAAAGTGGACATTCCCACCCTGCATACCCTCATGCCAAGAACAGAAGCAATAAACAGTCAAAAAAAAGTGTCCTTGGTGAACACTTTCCACCAGAGTAAGCTGTCTCCTTCAGCCTGCAAAACTAGTACTGCAAATACAGCAAAACCCCCCTCACTTCTTGCTTCCATAAGCAAGGAGGAAAGAGGTTTCTGAACTAAGGCAAAAGCACTTTTGGGGCCGGCCCGGTGGCGCACTGCTACAGTGCGCCGCTTGGGAGCGCAGCAGCGCTCNAAAAAAAAAAAAGATGACCAGTAAGGGGATCTTAACCCTTGGCTTGGTGTTGTCAGTACTACGCTCAGCCAGTAAGCGAACTGGCCATCCCTATCTATATAGGATCCGAACACATGGCCTTGGTGTTATCAGCACTGCACTCTCCCGAGTGAGCCATGGGCTGGCCCTTAGTCAAATATTTTGTTACTTAGAGAGATATGCACCCTGACATACCACCCACAAGCTGACAGCAAGAGATAAGCATGATGTCCACAGACAACAGACTGCAGGGTAGTCAGTCTATGAAGACTAAAAAGGAAAATAAATCTTTCCCTTAGCCAGCTGCCTAAGGGAAGGATATAAAATAAGCAGCTGGTTTAAGAAAAAGAAAATATTTAATCCATTCCAAAAATCACATAAGGAAATGAAGGGAACCACAGGAAAATTATCTACCTACAATAGACAGAGGATGCTATGGGCTTCGTGCTTATTCCTGAAATCCCAAGGCTTGATGTTTAGAAGAAACTATCTGTCCCTCAGGTACTCCTAGCTACTCAGAAATAAATTACACACATCTGTAAGAGTTCTTCCCTACTAAAGCTAGAAGTAAGCTAAGCTAGACAAGAAAGAGAAAGGAGCATCCATCAACAATAAACTGATCAAAGAACAGGTGGTTGACAGCGCAGAGCCATCCCAGGCTGGTGAGCTCCTCTGAGGCTCTGGCATAGCCTTAAACAGGGCTGGCCCAGGGAAGCTGCCAGTCAGTCTATGTTCAGCTACAGCTTCAGTATTCTTATTTACTGTTTTCAGCCAAAGCCCTCAGGAACAAAGCCCCAGACACCTCCATCAAGCCCCCTGCTGGTTGGTTTCATCATTATCTCGCCTCTTCCAAATCTGTAAGAAATGAAAACAACAGACACTGAAGAGCTGGTTTAGGAGGAATTCAGTCAACAGATATTTACCAAGTTCCTATCCTATGTCAGGAAAGGAACAATCCAGCACCCTATTTACATATCTACTTCATCCCCTGGAACTAACCTTTCAGAAAATTCTCTCTCATTCAGTTTTCCTTTGTCCACCCACCCTCTCCTTTTCTTACTTCCCATTCTAAACTGCCTTTCTAAAAAAGAACGCAAGGCCAGGTCTTTCTTCCACCTTAGATAAAGCCACTGAGAAAAGAGTTATCTCTAGAATTACAAGTAGCTCTCTTCTCTTTTCAAAGCTATGTTTTTTTTTTAGTCTACATCTTCTCTTGCCAGGTACTAGGATAGTTACAAAAAGAGAAGACAGATACTCTGCTCCAAAGGTTCTCAATCCGATGGAGAAGACAGTCCAAATAATATGGTGGACACACCAAAAAAACATGTAGAAAGTGCTGCAGGGTCACCAAGAAGAATGCTGATTCTGCCTGGGGCCCTGGGGAAAGCTCCTGGGATGACTTCTAGCCGGCCTCCCAGATAAGTCCAGGCTCTTCCTCCTTGACCAAACACCTCTGCAAAACTAGACTGGCCATAAAAAACTAACCTGGCCTTCCTCGCTCACTCATAAATCTTCCATGCTTCCCTATTCTTTTCTGAAAATCTCTGCTTAGCTTTCAGGGCCACATAATCTGGCCCCACCTCACTCCTCAGTACATCCCAGTAGACACCTGGGCCTCCAAACATGGTTCTTTGTGTGCAGTTTTTTGGTTGGTTTTTTTTTTTTTTTTTTTTTTTGGCAGCTGGCCAGTACAGGGATCTGAACCCATGACCTTGGAGTTGTAAGGCTATGCACTAACCAACTGAGCTAACCAGCCAGTCCAACCAAGGTTCTTACCCAATCCCGCTTCCTGCTGTGGCCTACATCACTTCTTTCACTGGCCCCACACCCCACCTATTCGGTG